GGATCCGAGTATTGCCAGCAATACTTAAATACAATTTTGCCATAATAAAAACACTGTATTTGAAGCAGAAACTTGAAATACAACATGTAATACAAGTCTATTCAGTCAGATAGGTGAGTTATTTTCAGTTATTCTTTCTCAATGAAGCATTTTATATAATTTATGCTTTGAATTGTTGGGGTAAAAATGTGTGTGCACTGCCTCTACGGGGAGTAAGCACTAAATAATAAGCACCAGTAAAGTAAAATATCAAAAATGATCATTGATCATTTTGTTGAGAAACAATATAAACAAAGTGATTTTTGGGTTTTGAACTTTATTGAAACTACAGAAGGTGTCAGTCTCACCACTCATAGACATAGTTTTATATATTTTTAGTAATAAGAGTATTTCTATTATTATACAGTGACAACAAATCTTAGAATATCCTTTCAATCTGATACAGCACCGCATTTTAAACCCTCCACAGCTGGACAAATACGGACTGCTTATACAGCGATGGGGGGTCAGTGGGGCCCACATCACTTGCACTTTTCACTGCCAACAGACAAACTGTGACATGTCAGTGCAGGAAGAGCACAGGTGTAATTAACATTAAAATTGGCTGCAGTCCATTTAGGTGAAGCGTGCTGGTTCACTAGCTCTGTTTACACGGAGGCTAGTGTTCTGATTATAATGAAATGCTCCATATACACACCTTAAGGAGAATAAACAGGCTTGGTTGTATGGGGGTAGTTTAAGAAAGGGGGTCATATCATGATCATTTGAGCACCGGAAGACGTTTACAAAGACTGAACAGTGAAAAGCAGACCACCATGTGATATCTGATCCCCCTCAGGGAGTCCATCTGATCAGAGCATCCGACACTAATGAGAACCAGACTTACCACGAAACAACATTTGACCTCAATTCTGACTATACACGCTCAGGCTAGAGCACATTTCTCCCAGTCTGTAACCTCTCTGCATGCATCACATATCCTGATGTGTCACATATATTATTCATTATCATTGGTTGCATTAACACACAGATACCATTCAGTCTTACAGAGAAATGAGTCGAGCTTAACTCGTTGATTATGCAGCTCAGCTAAACTAAGTTCCTGATGCAGTTTATAGGTCTCAGTCTTAGTTTTGCAGTCTTGCTTCCATACAGCATGATGTTCATCTTAGCCAAGCTGATGTCCCATTTAGGGAGATAAAAATAGACCATAAAGCAGGAGTCGAAACTGGGGCAGCCAATGAGAGCAGCTCGCAGTACGTCACCTCCGCTGGCTCCAACAACCCGTAATGGCGACGACCATAACGGCAAACTGGAGGCTTCAAAATAGTTCTCCACAAACCGATGGGTGACAATATCTTCACATTGCTTCAGACTGAATTCCTTCAGATTTGATAATTTAATTAGAAATAAGCTTTAATCACAAGCAACCCTCTTACCTTCATACCACAAAGCCTCATGGTACCCTGCTGCTCCAGAATGAATGCTGATTATATTCTGAGCACATTTGATCCTTTGTTACAGGACAATACAGCGTACAGACATCTGAGCACATTTTCCACAAACCCTCAGTGTACGGACCAGACCAAGGATTTCTGATTTTAATTATGCAATTACCTTTCACTCTCCAGAGCTGCTATGTTGGCCTTTCCATCGTACCCTGCAGAGGGAAAGACCAGGGAGACGCCATGCACGGCCATACACATCCCACCGCCCACAGAGCCGAAGCAGTGGTAGAGAGGCACAGGCAGACAGATCCGAGCGTGAGGCTGTGGGACGAAATCAGGAGAGAAAAAGGGTATTATGCACTGAGAATATACAGCTCCAGTGGAGATACACTATATGGATATTTTATACTTTAGGCTTACATTATCCTAAATGTTTCCAACAATGTTCAAACTTAAAGAAATCTGTCACATTATTCAGGTAGCACTGCTTTTTACCGCATATTCCCTTTGTGTCTGCGTCAGCGTTAGCGTTGTGGTTGTCTGCCAGAAGCTGTCATACATTGACTGTTTATCCAGTCTGAAGCCACATTTCTACCATCCACTGTTTAGATCTTGGTGCTTTTTAACTCTA